CGTAAAAAAAAAAAAAAAAAAAAAAAAAAAAAGGAATACAAATAATAATAATATACCGCGATATTGTTAGGTACGTTTAGTTGTAATTTATTTTTTTTTCTGCTCATAGCTTCTATACAACACAGACGGACTGTGCGTAAAATACATTGCGATTGAAACAAAAAAAAAAAAAAAATTAAATTTTTTGTATTATTCTTAATACTGTACTTGTACATAAATATATATGAATCGTTTCTCAAAACGTAACCGGTGTTTTTTTTTCGTCTAGATAAAAAAAAAAAAACCATGTCGATCTCCGTCTTCGTACACGCGAGTTTTAGTGTTTTTTTCTCTCTCTCTCTCTCTCTCTCTCTATTGTTTTAATATTATTATATATGATACGTGTAAATATTACGATAAAAAATTTCCTATACATACGAGTATTATTAATAATATTATCTGCATTTAATGTAACTTATGTTTAAAAAATATACTGCGGTAGGTGTTTTCCGTGTTTTCTAAACTTTTCGTTTCGTTTCGTCGCGCAAATATGGGCGGGTGTCTTACGCACTGAACGCAATTAAGGTTTTTTTTAACTTTTTATTTTTAACGCGACGTATTCGAAACAGATTAAATCGAATACCGATAATGAAAAAAATAAATAAATAAATAATAACGCTTTTCAACGCAGACTTTTTTGTTGTCGAGTTTTGTTCGTTTTTTTTTTTTTCTCCCTATTTACTGAAACTATACATAATATATTGCAATAAATCGCAATAACCATACGCAATTTAATGTTTGATTTTTTTTTTTTTCTTTTCGTTATGACAATACGCCATACAGCCCAAAGTCACGATGGTTGTTGTAATAAAAATGTAGTATCGGTTATTCGTGCGGAATATTTACGCGGACCGATACGGTATAACGTAATAATGTACGTCTTTTTTGCGCCTTATTCTATTGTATTTTTTTTTTTTTTTATTTTTACGTTATTTTGTGTTCTTGGTTATGTACGACTATATTATTATTATTATTATTATTATTATTATAATTTTTTTCTTTTTGTTGCATTAGTTCATTATTATTATTACTATTATTATCGGTTTTTTTTTTTTTTTGACTTTTTAGCGTTTAGACTACTATACAATATATTAATTACTATGGATATTTATTGGTGCCAAAATCTATTTTATTTTTCATAACATAAACCCGTTTCCCACCTCTCATCCGAAAACGCTTTGTATTTACGCAGCGTATATTACATGCGCCTAACATGAGTACTTATTTGTGTACATATATATAAAAAAACAAAACGCATCCGAAAGTTTTACGAAAAAAAAAAAAAAAAATAAATAAAAAAATAATAATAATAATAATAATAATAATAATAATAGGTAATATTACTATACATTAGATTCCGTAAATATCGAACGATAATTAAAAAAAAAAAAAAAAAAAACCAAACCAAACCAAACCATTTTGTACATATTATTATACGCTATTTTTTGTCCGCAACTCCGGCGGTGGCGGCGGCGGATCCGAGACGGACTTTGGCGGCGGTGTTTGGGGGGGGGGGCCGGTAACGGTGGTGATATTCCCAATCCCTTTTCCCCCGTGACGGGCGCGCGTATCGCGAAACGCACAAGAAAACAATCCGCGGGCGCCGCGGCTCTCGGTCGGAACGCGACCGAATTCGGCACTGCCCGTCGGATAAGCTGTTACCGTTCGAATTGCCGCCTTCCGCCCCTCCCTCCCCTTCGATCCCCCGAACCCCCGCCACCCCCCACCCCCTCGCCCCCTCCCCGAAACGCTCCCGGATCCGTTTTCGCGCGCACGCCCACACATGATATCGCGTTGTCCGCACGACGCGTACGATCGCGTATTGTACGGGCTTATCAATACTGTTTTTTTTTTTTTTTTTTTTTTTCTTTTCTATAATACACGCGTATTATAACGCCGTGTACATTATTTTATTATTATTATTATTATTATATACGCGCGTATGTATACATACATACGTATGTATTAATATTATTGTAATGACAATTTGTATATTTCGATTTAAATACATTATAAGTTTATGTAAATTTTTTTTTTTTTTCTTTAAGTAATATACAATATTATGTAATAATCTAGTAGACTAAAATATTATTATACACGTACATTATCGTATAATTAATTTTATATATGTATGTATAATATGTATATTATAACGTACTTGTAAATCGAGTTATTCTATATTTCGGAATTCGCTATACATACATTATTATTATTATTATTATTATTACGATTATTATTACTTATTACTTATTACTTATTACTTATTATTATTATTATTATTATTATTATTATTTTACGATATTTTGTCCTAAATCTATTAACCCGATTTGTTATATTAGTATTTAAAAGAAAAAAAGAACAAAAAAAAAAACACAAAAATCATACAGAAAATCATTTTGAATTCTCGGCGTATTTATTTTTAACGGTCCGTTATTGTAACGAATGTATAAACCTACCTACACGTGCGTAATACCCGGACAAGGCTGTGCAAGTGTCCGAGGAGAGGGGCGTTCGTGCCCTCCCCCGAAATCCGTTCCGTCGCTCATAAAGAAAACCAAAACCTTTTGAGAGACTTCGCGTACCTCTTCGGGGCGGGCGGCAAATAAGGTACGGGACACGGTTTTCTCGGTTCCTACTCTCGATTGCCCGATACCGCCGTGAATCGCTTCCGCGGCGGAAATACAATTTTCGAAAACGGGGGCGATCGACAGAAAAAAAAAAAAAAAAAAAAAAAAAAAAAACGTCCGGCGGCCGTACGTTTTTTTCTCGCCTATACCGGCCGCAAGAAGTACGCTCGTATTCGAATACATTTTCTCGTCGGTCGTGACGCGGGCAACAGGATCGCGACCGTTCCGCTCTCCGAGGGACGTGCCCGGAGCCGAGTACGGAAAAAAAAAAATAAAAAAAAAAAAAATACTATTTCTGTCGCGGCACCGTTCGCCGACGCTGTAGGTGTATTTTCGTTTAGAATTGTATTCTGTATTTTTTTTTTTTTAGCGATACGCAACAGTACAACATTCAGTACGGTAGGTGTTTAGTGCGGTTGGCGATGGGTAGGTACACGCGACAGAACGAAATATATCGGCGAGACCCATTGTTTCGTGCGCGGAACGGACCTTGAACGGACGAATATTTTACGAATACATTACTACCGTCGCTCTCTCGCTATTCCTCTCTATCTCTCTCTCTCTATTTCCGCGTTTCCTGACGTAGGCACGATGGTTTGCCGATAGAATAACGATGACGTCGCGGGGGGAAAAAAAAAAAAAAAAAAAAAAACAAATCTAGAATCCGATATCTACTAACCTAACCGATGGGCGCCGGTGTTTGGCGGAAAGCCGGGACGCAGCGGTGGCCGGTATAACCGTACCGTCGTCGAGCGATTGAACATACGCGGCGGCGAGCCCGCGAAAAACGATTCCGAGCGGCGTTGCCGAGGCGGTCCGGTTTTTCCTCGCGCGGCCGCGGACGTTTTATCAACGAGCGATCGCCAGGCCGTTCCCCGTTTATCGAGTGAACCGCAGAGCGAAAAAATTAAAAAAAAACAACCGCTCTCCGAATACGGATCCCGAACGCTGCACGAAAGTTTTCGGACGGGGCGGTGTTTCTGCAGGTATAGAAAAGTTGTTGGCGGACACGAACGCACAAGGAAAAAAAAAAAAAAAAAAAAAACCACCTCGGTAAAACCGATGTTACGCCTCTCGCTTCGTGCGGAATCTAAAATCGCATGTCATCATGACGTTTGCCGTTACGAGCGTTACGTTAACGTGTTACGAGCCGCACGCCGCAATGTGGCGCGGCTGCACGGCCGTACACGCCGAGAAGAAAACCTTGAGCGGGTGTGCGCAGCATCCCGACGATGACGAGAAAACCCGATGCGGTTCTGTATATGCAACCGTGTGCATACGCACGTAGGTAAGTGTACGCACACGCATGCATCATATGTGCGTAGAGATATGAACCGCGAGACTAATGCGTATTATACGTGCGCAAATCTCTCTATTTTTTTTTTTTTCACAATATTTCTCTCTCCCTCCCCCGTATCGGCGGTCTCTTTCGACCGTTTTCGCGTTCTACTCACGCACGCACGCAGCGCGTATTATTACATACAGAAACAATGCGGTCGTAAAAAACCGAATGGAAAAACAAAAAAAAAAAAAAAACAAATACAATAAAAAAATATTCTACATCGCAGTTGTTGCCAGTATAGCGAGTGCTCGTGTTTTTTTTTTTTTTTTTTTTTTTAAATTTGTTTTTATACAAATTCAGTCACTGTGAAAATAACGTTACATGCT